CACTTCTCTGTGTATTTTCTATTTCCGCAATCTTCTTCTTCCTTAATCGTTTCTTTAGATTAGAGTCTCATGACAATTCCGCACACCAAGTGTTCGATAAAACGCATCGGATTTACAACAATTTCTCTTAAAAATAATTACTAAAAAGTTGTCATGGAATTCTCCGGTTCGCCTGATATGAAGCATGTCCAAGTGCTTGGGTTGGTAGTAGTAACGATGCTACTATAATTGTATTCACAACTCATTAAAATACTACCATAGGAAATATAATAAGCTGCTTTCGTCCATAATGTCTCCCTAGAACAATACCCACCAGGGTAAATTGCCGTACAATTGATATATATATAGTTTTGTCCGGGTTACATGCCCAATCAATATTTGCTTGAAGTTGTGTATCTGATGTCCCTTGCTTTGGCACACACCATTTCGAGTTGCTTCTTCTCGAATGTACTTGATCTCTACTACTACTACCTTTCATTTTGTATGATGATCCGTTTGGTACGTTGCATGTGTTAGTGCTTGGATTATTAGTAGTTACAATGCCGCTACCGTGAAAATCGCAAGCGCTATCTGAGTTTCCTTTGCTTTGGTAATAAGCGTTCATGATGAAAGTGGACCGAGTCTTGACGTTATTGTTGTCAAAACATATTCCACCAAGTGAGATTGGTTTACAATCAATACCTTGACTACACACCCAATCAATATTTGCTTGCAACTGTGTGGTTGTGGCCTCTTGCTTTGCGACACACCATTTTCCACCATTGCTCGGTGGATTTCCACCATCTCCACCTTTTAGTTCGATACCAATGGTGGAAGTTACGGCTGAGAGTTGGAGGATCACGACGGAGACTAGGAGGAGGAAATGGAGAGTAATAAACTTTGGTGTTTTGGCCATTGCTTTGTTTGGATACCAACACTAGGCTAATTAAGGATATTAATGTGTGTATTATTTATACTAATGTTCAATCACCTTTTCTTTTCTCAAAAAGAAAAAATGTTCAATCTCCATTTCTCTATATAGTCATTGTTATAA